GGGGGGGGGGGGGGGGGGGAGCCTGTGCCGCGGCTGCATCCCCTTCAAATGGGGGGCTGGAGGATTCTCAACCAGCGGAGGACTCCTCACAGGACAGGGCAACCAGTGGGGTCCCCCGGGGAGCCAGATTGGGCTGGAGAGCCAGGCAGCCTTGCGGACTCTGCCTTTTACCTCGAGAACCCAGGTAGAGATTTCAGGGCAGGGAGTGGGGGGCGCAAGCCCTCGCAGGACTGGGGGACCAGCATGCTGCCCCCCCCAGCTCCTGGGATGTGGACGACCTCCCCTCACCACCATTTCGTGACAAATCAGACACCGACCTGCTGGCGCAGCTCAGCTTCTCTTCTGAAGGCAGCAAGGCTGATCAAGGAGATCCCATTCAACTCCAGGAAATGGGGGAAGATGTGCGGGGGGAGGGGAAGATCTCTGGGGACTATTTCTGCCACCCTGCCCCAGTCCCAAGGGAAGAAGTCCTAATTCAAGATGAAAAAGCCTCCAGCGTCTCCAGAGCAAAGGGGAGAGAGGGAAGAGGAAATGGAGGGGCCATTTCCCAGTCCTGGAACGCAGCCGGCCAGCGTCCTTGTGCTGGCACCTGCTCGCCTGCGTGGGAACCCTGGTGCCTACTCGGGGGGGCTGGGGGAGAAGCCTCCGGTCTCATTTCTGGCTGTTATAAGCTGCATGCCTCTGGTTCATGGGGTTCTCGGGAGACTTCATCCACTCCTTCTTCAGCAGCTGCTTCAGCTGGGAGAGACGCATATTGGGGTTCTCCTGCTTCAGGCGGGGAAGGTTCACCTCTTCGAAAGCAGAGAAGGCTGCCTTCATCCTGCGCTCGGGGTGCCGGTCCAGGTCCTCGGCCACGCTGCGGGGAAACGGGCAGCAGGATAAGGGGGGGCGGTGGTGCCGACCCTTCCGGGAGCCCAGCCCCTTCCCAACATGGCTTCTTCAAGGAGGCAGCTTTGCCCAAATGCGACAGTCTCCGATTCTCCAGCACTGCCTTCTCACCCCCCTCCTTTGCAGCACCCCCAGGCCCGGGCCCCTCTCTCACTCAGCAGAGGAACCTGAAGGCCACCCTGAAGGCCACCTGCCCGGGGTGGATGCATCGGCACGTTGGCACTTTGGCCTGGATGCCAGTCCCCAGCAACTCTCACAACAGCACGTCCGGGGTAGGATACTCCCAAGCCGCCAGGGGACTCCCACCTGCTGCTGTGCGGACTACCAGCAGGGATCCCAGCCCTGCTAAGGGTCCCCACAGGCATCCCACTCTCTGAGGAGCAGCGCTGCCCCCCAGCCTTGGGTCCTTTTCATCCTTAGCAGAGGGGAGATGGAGCTGCAGCCCCTCCCCTAAGAGCAGAGCTTAAGGCCCTCCAGGGGTACTGGGCTGGGAGCAAACAGGTCTGCTCGTTCTGCTGGGGCCAAGCCTTCCCCCCTTGCAGTAATGCCCCCAAAGGCAACATGCATCAATGCCCTGCTGCAACATGGCCCCAGGTGCCTTGTGTCCCCTTTCCAAGGCAGCAAGGGGGGAGAGAAGGGATCCTTCCGAGGCAAAGCCCTGCCCAGCCTTCTCCCCCTCCTTCTCCAGCTGGGCCATGCTCGCCACAGCCACAGCCACAGCCACAGCCACAGCCGACTTCTGACCTGTGAAGGGACCCAGCCCCTGCCACGCTGGCCTGCTGCCGGCTCCCTGTGGCCCTCCGCACACCAACACGTGAGAGAAGTGCTCGTGCCCCGCCCACAGGCCCACGCGGAGGGGTCACCCTATCCCCACCTGAGCACTGCAATTGCGTCTTCGATGGTTCGGGCCTCGACCATGCCTTCCTCCAGGATCCGACGGTTGATGTTCTCCTCCAAGGGCGTCTCAAGGTGACTCTTCGGCTTCTCTGCTGAGGAACAAGCGGCAGAGCTGAACGGAAGGCCCGCCACTTACGCCTGCTTCCCGGGGAGGGTGAGGAGAGAGGTAGGCCGCCTCTGAGCAGCAAAGATCTCCCTTGAATCGGGTGGCTGACCTCACAGCCACGGGGACCCTTGCCATTTTCTGGGACACTTCAAGTTCTGCGTCCAGCCTTCAGGCCCTCCTGCTGGTCTCCCATCCTTATCCCACCCAGCCCGAGCCACTCCCTTTTGGGCCCAGCCACCTCCCCCCCACAATGGCTTTTGGGGAGCTCTGAGCTGCCCCAAGGCCGCAGCTGCACTCACCGGTGTCTCCGTTCTCCTTCAGCTCCTTCCGAAGGGCCTCATCAATCTGAGCCCGGGTGACCTTCCCGGAGCCAAGTGGCTTGGGCGCCTTGCCCTTCAGCTTGGAATCCTCCTCCTCCAGCAACCGCTGGAGCTCCTTCTTGCGCTCAAGCTGCTCCAGGCGACGCTTCTCCCGCTCCTCCTGCAGGACAGAGATGGGGGGAGCCTCTTGTGAGATCACAGCCCCCCGAAAAGGCTGCTGAGATTCAAGGGCGCCACAAGGGAGGTAAATGCTTTGGGCCACAGCTCCCATCTTGGCCCTCAATGGAGATGGGAAGATGCTGGGGCATGTAGTCCAGCAGCTATGGAGGTTGGGGAGGCTGTCCTGCCTACACAGCAAGGCAAGAACAATCCACTGGCAGCTGAAGACCCGGCTCACGGTCTAAGACATCGCCCCACCACAGCGACTGCCCCAAGCCCCCACACCCTGAAGAGACACAGCAACCAGACTCCATGGCTCCCTCCTCCCGCAAGAGAGACAAAACTGCTACAAGTGCCACACGGTGCAAAGGCCGCCCCCCAATCCGCAGTGGCCTTGAGGCTGGAGGGCACTGGACTGGTGGCCTGCTTCTCTGGAGCACCTGGCTCCTGCGGTGCTGCGGAAGATTTGCAAGATTCTGTCGTTGAAGATGACAATCTCAGAGTAGTTTTAGCCTTCCTACGGAGTTATTGCCTGGCCTGGTCAACCTGGTGGGGCTGACATCCATCTTTCAAGTCTGATTGTGCTGTACCTCCCCCTCCTCTGAATTAGGGAAGTGTCTATCTGAGCCGCTTACGAGCACTACAGATAGTCCTCACTTAACAACCACAATTGGGACCAGAATTTAAGTCGCTAAGCAATGTGGTCATTAAGCAAATTATCACGTGACCACTTTGCTTAGTGACCACAGTCCCGGCACTCCTGGCTGCCATCCTTAAGCGAGAATCACGGGTCATTAAGCAGGCAGAGTCCCGGGTAAGGACCGCAGGGGTGGCTCAGGGGGGTGGGGGAGGCCCTGGGAGGCCCGGCACAGGCCAAGCACAAGTTGGGGGGGGTGCTGCAGTGTGGCGCAAAGCTGCAGCCACCCCTGGAAGCCTCAGCTGCCTCAGCCTGGCTCAGCAACACTTGTGACTGCAGGTGTGCTGCAAGTCCCCCCCCCATCTCCCCCCAAGTATGCCCTTTTGGCCTCCCTGCACAGCGACACTTGTTGGCGGCAGTGCCAAGGCTGGGGCTGAAGTTGAGGCCTGAGGCCTTCAGTAGTCTCAGCCAGCTGCCACCACCCCCAGGTCTCAACTTCAGCCCCAGTGCTGCTGCTGCTGCCAGTGAGAAATGCCACCTCAAGCCCCACACCGCTGGCACTGTTCCCCAAGCCATGCCTCTCATTCCTTCCATTCTCGTGAGACCTGGAAAAGACCAGATGATTTCTGAAGGATCGCAAGAATGGGACGCGGGCTTGCAGAAGTTATGGGACGCTCTGGGAAGGAACGGGACAGGGTGCCAGCTTTACGGAAGGAAGGAGAGGCGCGGCTTGGGGAACAGTGTGAGGCAGTGTTGTGGCTGTACTTTGTGGCATCCTACATGAGACCCTGTTCCAGTCTAATGAGAAAGCACTGACGAGCATTCTTTGAGAATGATTTTTGAGTCAGCTATAAATTGTCATGCCATCCAGCCCATATTTAACAAGCTTCCTAATCAGAATGTCATCTGGTGATTTTGGCAAAAGCTTTGCTGAAATTAATATACGTTACATCTACTGCATTCTCCAAATCTACTAAGGAAGTCACCCAATCAAAAGATTAGGCCAGTTCTTAACAAATCCATGCTGATTCCTACTATTAATGAAGGGGCTACCAGACATCTTATCTGCCTTAGAATCTTCCCAAATATTACTGTCAGACTGTCTTGGCTTGATTGGTTTGTAGTTCCCCAGATCTTCCTTTTCTGACAAGAACATTTGCTCTCCTCTGGCACAGGTTTCCTCAAGATAATACTGAAAGGTTTTGCCAGATCAGCAGCAAGTTCCCTCAATATCCTAGGATGCAGTCAACTGATGCTGGGAATTCAAATTCATTCAAAGAAAACAGGCATTCCCCAACCTTCTTTCTCTCAATCACAAGCTTCAATCCTGCCCCTTGTTTCTGCTTTCAACAACTTCCTGGTGGGACAAGCATCCTCTGAAGGGAGCAGACTGAGCCAAAACAGGTGCTGAGTAGGTCTACATTTCTTTGTCACCTGTTAGCAGTTGCTGTCTTCACTGAGCAGCTGATATTCTGATTCTTTTCTGGTCCTCTTATTCTGAACCGGTCGGAAGAAACTCTTTTGTGGTTCTCAGCCTTCCTGTTCTACCGTTGCTCGTTCTGACTGCTCCCCTTTCTGATCCAGGAAAATTTGGTATCTTCATCCTTGGCGCCCTCTCTCATTATCTCTTTATATGTCCTTTTTATTTTCAAGTCCTCACTCAACTTTTTGAGCTGGCATTTCATCCCAAGGAGGATGAAATGGAAAACTACGTTTGAAGCAGGCCATTAAATTTTTTTGCGATACACAGTCAAATCAAATCTCTGTTATGGTCACAGACCAGCATAGTGATGCACAAGGTTTCTAGTTCGTTTTTAAATGCATTACTTGTATCGCTTCTTTCTAAAATTGTTTCCAAGTTTTAAATTGTAAGCCACCTTGGTGGCCTTTTCCAAAAACCCTTAATAAATAAAAAAGAAATGAAAAGTGAAGAAGCTGCTCACGGTGGGCCGCACCACTGGTCCATCCAGCAAGAACCCTCTTCAATATTTTCCGAGCCCTACCTGGGGATGCAGCTGCTACAGCCTGAACTCTAGAGCTGCTGCCTGAAACACAGGTCCTCCACATCAGAGCCTGTGGCCCTTGACTCAAGCGTCAACTCTGCCCACAGAGATTCCTGAATTTCCACATTCCGCAAACATGATTCAACTCAGACATGCTGCAAGGATTTTAGTAAGGATGTTCACAAAATCCCAGGATATTTCTCCATTAAATCATCCCATTCCTGCACCTGTAACAGGATATGTGAAATCGCGAGGAACAGCGGCTTGGGTTTTCTTAGGTTTTCCAACCACTGGCAGCCACGTTTTCTCTTTCAACGTCCTGCACTGCTCTCCTCCGTAGCCCCTCCCTCCTGACTCAGCGGCGGTACCTTTCTCTGCTCCTTCCGCATGACGTGCTTGTCTTCATCCTTCCAGAAGGCATCCTCCAGTTCCTTCTGCCGCTTGGCATCAGCCGCTGCCTTGGCCTCAGCCTTCCTCGCACGGGCAGCGGCCGACTTGGTGTTTTCCCCTTGGAATTTCTTGGGCATCCCGCAGGGTGCTCACACAGTCAGAGAGAAACAAACAAGTTAAACGTGCTGCCTTGGAAGTGATGAGTAACAGCTCCCATCATCCCGAGCCAGCATGGCCAATATGCTAGAGGGCCGGACTTGGGGTTCTTGGATTTTTTTCATTTGCTTGTTTAAGCTTGAAAAACATCATCCAAATATCAATTTCAGTGTATTTTAACTTACATCAAACTATGTGGCATAAATTTACATACCTACAAATGCAATTTGTAAAATCTTCAATCTATCAGGACCCTGGAAGCAGGCTCCCCACCCTATTGTTTAGGAGGGCCGCAAAGACCGGGCTCTTTGGCAAGGGACAGCTTCGTTTCCATCCAGTCTGTTGCCCTTGGCGTCTTTTACCTCTTTCTTTTTAATTATATTGCATTTTCCTTGTTTTGACCGTTGTGAGCCACCCAGAGTTGTTGGGGGTCGGGTGGCCTGTGAGTTTGATAAATAAATACATTCACTCAGGAACCGCCATGTTCAGGTCTATGAAGGGACGGCCAAGAATCCTTTTCCCGTGGAATCCAGGGCCAGAAATATCAGGCACAAGTTGCCACTGCCTAAAGCTCACGAACCTATAAGGTAAAACCTCCCGACTGCCAGATGAGCATAAAAGCGGAGTCTCTCTAGGGAGGTCGTGGGGATGCGGCTGAAGGGTTCTGAGCAGTCTAGACCGGTTTCTCCACCTCAAAGGGGGGGACTTCCAAACCCACGAAGTCCCCGCAA